CCGACGGTACCATGGGCAAGGATCTGCTCTAGACCTTGTGAAGATGGTTACCGACACGTTTCCTTCGTTCAGGGATCAGGTCTGGTATCAAGGCCGAACAGGTGAGGTCATGCCATTTGACTCCTGGATGATGCTTATATGCGTCTCGCCCTACCAGTGTATTTCTGGAAACGGGCTCAAATCCTCGTAGCGGAGCTCTGGGCTGCTTTCTATCCTGAATTCCCCTCAACACCTCACCCGTTGTTTCCGGGACCCTTAGGGCCTCGCATACACGAACTTACGATGTTTGCCGACTACCGCGTCCCCCAGATTTTACACCACCTTCGAATTCTAGACTACCCGTCTTCTTTGATGCATTTACTCAAATCAGGTGCAGATTTACCCCCTGGCTGTCGAGAAGAAGTGAGCTTGCGTGCCGCTAGTATTACCGCCGTCGAGCGTGTACGAGATAAAATTGTCCAGGCCTTGAGCTCGAGTTGTCCAGACCAAGGAGAACCAGAGAGGATAGAGGTAGTGAGCAGTGTCATTATTGATTTCTACCTTTGGGACCTCGCAAAAAGGATAGAGAATGGAGAGGAGAGGGTGGAGGGTATAGAGACTTCGGATTTGGCACCCATCCACCACACACGGAGCATCTGGTACTAAACTTCTTTTCTCATACGCGGCCCCGACAGGTCGCAATGGCCCTCGGTGATGCCTCATGGATTATTTTGACTGACTAACCTAGAAGAATTGTCATCTGTCGCAATTTCGTTAGCAAGAGTGCTATCGTGAACAGGTCCTTATCACAAACTAGATATCTTACTACAATATCCCTTCGTATCTAATATTTCTAGCTATCTACATATAGTCAAACCCTATAATGTAGCGGCATGATAGATCCATATATCTTATCTCTAATTAGGAGCCTATAGAAGTCTCCTGCCACTTATAACCTGATTGGGAGATCCAGCAAATATCGGGGCAAAATTTTTAGGGTCAACACCAAGATCTTCTAGGGAACAATTAGGCATTCGGAGCCTTTCACGGACAATAGACACAACATGGGAAACAGGTCATCTGGATCTTATTTCTAATTTTATTTTGCATTTGACAATATAATACTTTCATCATTCTATATTCACGGGCGCCTGTCTAAATCCAGAAAAGAGAAGGTCGAAGATAACGGAACGGGGGCTTTAGCCACGTTTGTTCACGATCACAGACTGAATTGTTCCCTGAAAATGCTTAAAGACACTGTCAAGTTCCCGGCGGCGACAAACGTTCGTCACGCGGAGCAGGTACGGACCATGAGTAATAAATTATATGTATATCGATGGCGGTTACACACTAAACCAAGGTCGAAGTTACGATATGTTCTTACCTATCGCACCTGCCGTAGTGAACAATTGACAGAATATTCCGAGATAAGTACCAGAAGTTGCGGAGTGACACAATTGAGTGCCCGGATTAATCACATAATAAGCTGTAGTAATGCATGCGGGGAGGATCTTACCCAAATTATCCTTACCCTCAGCCCCACCCCTATAACAACGGAATGAAATGCTCTTGGAATGGACTGGCGAATAATGCGTGCGCAGCAGAACCGAGAAAGAGCATGCCACGGTCGGCACTCGGGAGCTGGAATAACTCTTGTTTCCTCTCCTGATAGCACCAGAAATAGCACTGCACTGCATTAGAGGCTATTGAAGGATGAATCAGGGTTGAAAGTTGATTGCAATTGCAAAAGGAACTATTCTTTTTTCCGCTGCCCGTGCGACGACATGCGACGACCGGGTTTTTTTCTCTCGATAAACATCGTCTGCAACATATAGCCTTGCACCGGCAGCAGTCATAAACAACGATGGACCGGGCATCTCAAATTGGCTTCAAAAAATAATAGTTTTGAGCACAACGAGAAATGTCCATCCGAAATTGCGTAATTGTATTTCGAGCACCTCTCTTCCATTGCACGCATGCTCCAGAATCCCTCTCAGCTTATGGCAAGTCAGCACAATTGACTAGTAGCTCCCGTTAGTGTTCGCTTAGTTAGCCAAGCACACTTCTGCGTACCGGTCCTGACAATCGTCGGCGGAAGGTAAGTAGAAGGCCTGAGTGGTCTAATTTAAGGCAAGCATGATCCCGGCGGACGGGAGCCTCGTGGCATTTGATTGTCAAGGATCGTGTCCCACGGCTCAAAAATCAAAGGGAGAAAATAAATGAATAATTAAATGGCCTAGTTCCCACTCGAGCACTGTCCGATCTCCATCGGATTGGAAAGGACGAATTTGGTGATAGGCGGGCTCGAGCTAAGAGCATACACCTATATGACATATACACGTCGAATAATGGATAGAAATGTACGGAAATTTCGTAGTTTAAGTTAGGAATATCGCATTTCCAGGGGTCGGGTCAAGTCTGAGATGGCTCGTGACGTCAGATGTCTATACCATCATCTGAGTCGGAATCATCGTCTCCGTCTGACGACGAATTATCAGAATCTCTCCATTGACGCACACTGAAAACGTCCGCGTCACCCTCTTCCCTCAAAATGCTGATGAGAAGTATGGGGCGAGATGATGAGATGATATTGGGACTTGATGTTTGAAGGGGTTGGGCTTACTGGTCAAACAAACTGATTGTCCTGTGTTCATCAACAAGCATTGATTCTCCAGTGAGCGCCTGATAATAATTCAACCGATCTGATGTTCCATCTGTATCAAGCTGTCTGACATTCGTTGGGGAGGGGGCCAAATCCTGTGCACATGGAGAAGATGGGGTTGGACTATGCAGCACTATCCGCCTCTCCACCCCAGAAGTTAGAACGTGGAGGAAATGAGGGTGAAAAACGGCAGTATTGACGATAGATTCATGTCCTAAATTGTCGGCCATTCAGTCCGCCGAGTCAAGAATTAAGGCCAATTTTACCTGTAAGTCGGCACAAAGGCGTTGATAGCTCGACTGGCACATATTTCTTGTCCTTGGAATCCGAGGTAAAGGCTTTACATAGTGAGACTTGGAGTGTGTACGTGATTAATTGTTGGCTTACCCGTTATTTCGGTGGTATCCTGACTTTGCCAGGCACTTGGGGAGAATTCTTGTCTCCGACTTACGAGCTCAGGTGTTGGGGGCAATCTCCATACATATCCCCGGAAATCGTCAGATCCCGCAGCGTAGAGCTCGTCGGTTTCAAGCCCTGGACTACCAAAGGAGCCGTTCTACCGCCGTTACATGAATGATGAGAATGTTCAAATAGTCCAAACACTTACCTTCGTCGTGCAAGAGTTAGAATAGCTCCGTTCTTCACTTGGGACTGGTATCCCATCTGGTCCATTCTTCCCAGTACAGATGGCGATTGGATTGGAGTCAGAGATAGAATAGATTGTGGGATACCAGTGCTGTAAAAATATAGAGGTTATAATAGACTTCGATAGTGTACTTTGATGGCATACCAGCATTGTGACCGCAAAACGGGAACCTGACAACCCATGAATAGAACGACATGAAACCGCGGGGTGACCTTACCGTCGCGGTCGAAGGCAATACTACTTGCTTCCGGTATGCTCAAGTGACCGTAGTTTCGCTTGGCTAGCTTGGTGTTGTACTGGGCAAACAACGAGGCTCAGGGCATCAGGTAAAGAAGAATAAGTGTACACTGACCACTTGTACCACGCCGTCCCGAGACCGCCGAGAAAGAGGACCAAAGGCCATCCTGTCATCACGAAGGCACACAGCTCCACTTTGTTCGCTCGTTAAGAATATATGCTCCATGTTGGGATGGTAATATGCCCCCGTAACTTCGGACTTGAGCTGCAGGGTATTTTGAGCGCGTGACGGACGGTCCTCTCGCTCATCGTTTCGAATGATTCTGCCATGATCGCTAGATGGAAGTCAAGAATGGCCCAGACTGTAATAATGACGCTAACTCACCTTCCACTCAAATACACCCCATCTTGACTTGGGTGGCAAGAAATACTGCGAATGGTTTCCTATGAGTGATGTCAGAACATGAGTATGCCTGCATGAGCGGAGAATGGCTATTGGTCATTTACGTCATCTCGTGTTGCATTAGACGAACGCCCCGATATTTGTGCCTGAGAGGAACCAAGGTAGGAGATATCGTACTGAAATATCGTGCCACCTATGCCGCCTCTAAGTGAGGTTTACTTTGATCAGTATTTAAGGCAAATTACCGACACGAATAAACAGCCGGTTAGGACGAACTTACGAGAATAAATAGCGATTTGAGGCTGAGAACGTAAGATTCAGAATAATTCCCTGCCATAAAATCGCAATTAGACTGGACAACGTGTTACCCCAACGCGACTAATGCATGGGCGTACTCTTGGTCCAACGAATGATCCTATCGGTTCTACAACATCCTCCTGGTAGAAGTCCCAAAGACAAATCTTCAGATCTATGAACCAACATGTTCGTCAGAACAATGACCCAACATTAACACCCAGCCTTAATAATGACGTCTTACCATCACCCCCGCTCGCCAAGAACTGGCCTTCTCCGTTTGAGAACGCAAGTGCATTGACGCAAGACGTGTGAGCATTCAGGCTCCTATAGAACAGTAGAACGTCAGACTACTGCGGCGGGGCGCACAAGACGTCAGAGAATCTAAAGACGGCTCATGGTCGCGCCGCGGAGGGGTTGACGTCGACCAGCATGTAACCTGCGCCCGTTGTCAACATACTGATGTGGCCTCCGCAGCACACACCTCCAAGAGGCGTAGTTACCCGTCGTAAGGGGAGGATTGGCATATTCATTATTTACCTTGAGTATTGAAATCCCTCTGAGAATATAGACTCTAAAATATCGGCCCTCGATCTATTTGTGAAGCTCTGCAGGCCGATTGATGTCACCCGCCCGTGTGTTCGCCTTGTTGATGCCCATCTTGAGCAATCGGGGTGTGTGATGGATGTCATGATATTCAGCGCTGGGTAAGAACAGGAGCGGCTTTAGACCCGGAGATGGTAGTAATAGTCATGATATAATACACAATCATCTCTCGGGTCTCGATAGCTAAGTGGTATAGCATACGATTGCAGCTCTCCGTTGTTATCGTAGGGTCCGGTGTTCGATCCACCGTCGGGACTCACACATTATTTTTCGTAGTGTCCGTGCATATCGCTGTCAGGTTGCGGCGTTATTAACTTCACCATGAAACTGACTAGTCACAATTGGAACTGAACAAGTAGAAACCGACACAATATCGTCATTAGTCATTACAAGATGAACATGTGGAGGGAAAAGGGCAACGGTCGACAGATAAGTAGCCATGAAGATACAGTGCAAAGATGAGTAGGGGAGTCTAGAGCGGTGATGGGTTGATACAATCAAAGGGAGACTGAGGAGCCGAGTATGCATAGAGGTGCCCACAAGAAAACCACGAACACAACCGAAGAGGGGGAGAGAGCATTAATGAAGAGAAAGTGAAAAAAAGGAAAGAAAACTCTATGGGTGTATCTATCTAAGTATGCAGTTTCCACATAAAATAAGGGTAGGTGCACATATCCGGGAAAAAAACGAAAGGGTTGAGAGAGAGATCCAATGTCCATATGATAAATTCAACCAATGCGGCCCAAAGGTCATATCATCTAAAAAGCCCGGACGAGTCCAAAGAATGAACATCGAGCACAACCAAAAGACCGAAGAATCAGAGAGAAGAGAGGAGATCCGCAACCAAAGAATCACCGAACAAAATCGATAGACATCTTCTGTGATGACGACGGCGGAGAAGTCAAACCTCTAGCAGCCGCCTCGAACTGACTGAACCCAGGCAGTTCTACTTTTTCCTTCTCCTTCCTCGACTTCTTCCTATCCACATCCATACTATCATCTACATCTTCCTTCTTGATCCTCACATCATCGCCATCCCGCTCGTCATCAGTCTCGTCATCAGATTTACTCTGTGGGACCTTGAGCGGCGGCAACGTGATCGGTGGCGACCCACCACGGGATCCAGGCATCGATCTCAAGTCCCAAAGGTTCGTGCCCAACGAATGAGGGTGCATAGGGGTCGTAGCGCCCGAAACGGGATGACTCAAACCCCCAGCGCCAAAGAGCGCACCACCACCGCTCTCAATCGTACGACTTGCCGCCCTGGGCGGTGATTGTACAATTGGTGTCATGCCAAACGCCATCCGAACCGAGTGCGCCAAATTGTTATGATTATGTTCCCTCTTTCCATGAATAGTGGCTGTCATCTGGCCAGCGGCCAGCGCCTGCGTCCAAGCAACCGGCGACGGCGCCCTGGAACTCGTTGCGCTCGACGCCCCGACCAAGCCCGCACCAGGCGGTAGGAGTGGAGGCGGGCCAAGGGGGGTATGCTGTCCCAAGCTCCCGGGACTACTGCCACTGCTGCTCGGTCCACTTGACAGCTGTGGCGTGGGCGCACCAGAAGATGATGCGCCGCGAGAGGACAAGTGATGACCAGGGTGGGGTAAGGTGGGCATAGCATATCCCAAAGATTCTTTCCGGCGACTTTGCTTCATCATGGGGCGATGATGCATCGGTATTGATGAATTTGTTGGGCTGCCTGTTACGCTAGGGCCTCGAGACCTAGAGGGACCACCCTCGACCATGTCTCGGTCCCGATTTTCGATTGTTGGGGGAGGAAGCAGCACGGGCGAGGGAGCCCGTGATGGATTAGTCGAATGTATATTGAGCGTCCTCAAGGGACCAAGGAATGGGCTAGTCGAAGGAGTGTAAGCAAAGTCGGCAGAAGTGGTTCGTATGGCGGAATAGTGGGGTGGTGACTGATCCGAGGAGTGGGGTCGGGAGTGGTGGGCTGATGATGGGGTAGAATTAATCTGGAAGAGCCTTCGAGAAGGGGATTGCGAATTTGTTGCCTGAGTTTCTGAATCTGAACTGATAGGGGATGGGGAGTCATCGTGCGCGTTAGCGCCGGATAAATGACGGTGATGGGCATGAGGGGGTTGCGGGTGATAAGGGTGGGACCAAACGGAATGATGGGCACCATGACTAGCACCAGCTGGTCTCATTTGATCGACGAGGTGACCGGACGAACGAGACTGAACAATGTTAGGATGGTGGGGCTGATGATGCGAAGACGCCACAGGAAGGTGCCAAGGACCACTGAAGCGCCTTTTCCTATCATCACGTTCGTCATGCGAAGGCTGCCAATCCCTTTCGTTGGAGAGACCAAAGTACCCTCGCTCCTCGGGGGTCATGCCGAGGGCAAGGCCAGGGCGTAGGGCAGGGGTAGCTGTGGGACTCGTGGTAGCGCTCTTGCTGAGACGGTGGCGGAAATAAGGGTTCGAAGCTTCGAATTGGAATCGGGTTTCTGACTCGGCACGGCGGAGAGCTTCAGCACGACGGGCTTCGTACTCTGCACGTCGGACGGCCTCTTGTCGCTCTAGAGCATATAGCTCGTCCATGGCAACGGTGGAGAGGGCGTTGAAGGCCGTTGGATGTGATACTGAGTGATGAGCAGAGTGGGTGCGGCGGGAATGGGGCATGTCGTAAGAACCGACAACGGTAGGGCGTGCGTAAGAGTCCCCCTGTGTTTTAAACGTGTGTCAGCGGTCCGATATACAGATTGGCAAAAAGATAACGAGTTTAACAATGAAGAGGATCTGCCGACATAGCACCGAACGGGACGAAAAGACGGAAGCAAACGCACCTCATCGTCACTATTTGCCCTGCTCCGAGCCTTCTTTTTCGCTCGCATGGCGGCATCATTGGCAGATTTGCTGCCAGAATAGGAAGGGTGGTCCGGGTCCTCTATGGGAGTAAATTCGAGCCGCTGCTTGGCAGCAGACTTTTTGGAGGCAGCGGAGGACTGAGAGTCGCTGTTGTGTATTCTTGAGTGGCGAGTGAGTTCATCTGAACGAGAAAAGCGCTTTTCGCAGCCGGGGAATGTGCAGAGGAAAGGTTTTTCGCCTGTGTGAGTGCGAATATGACGGGTCTGTCGAGAGCTGTGAGCAAAGAGCAAGAGAGGGGGACAAGAGACGGACCTGGTGCTCGAGGCGAGAAAAGGCGCGGCCACAGAGAACGTATGGACACTTGTACGGCCTTGCGACCTGCTTGTCAGAGGAGTTGTGGTCTGGCATGGTGGATGGGGAGAAGGAGTGTGTGGGGAAGGATATAAAGGCTTTTGCAGAGCTGACTTTACTCACGCTTGCCTTCGCTTGCCAATCACTCACACCCACTTGACATATCCGGGGAAATCCCGTGTTAAGTCCTGCTAAGTCCCTGCTAAGTCTCTGCTAAGGTCCCCGGCCCAGATTACAGCCGCCCTCCGATTCGGCCCGAAGGCTGTCGAGTTGGCTCTCGAGGGCAACATGCGTCACTTCCAATCCGTCCATCTGCTCTTCGGTCCGCATACCCTGATATCCGCCCCATAATTCGCCTCCCTCCCATGTGCTGTCCCGCCCAGCAGCACTCCGCAGCCCTCTCAAGCCTCCAAATACTGTCCTGCTCTCACAAGATCTTCCAGAAACTACACCTGCGCTGCTTCCTCGAGGCAACAAACAAACCTGACCTTCTCTTCAGATCCCGATCTCATCACCTCCGAGATCTGTGTCGACCCTGATCGCAGATGCGGGGTACTGCAGTGTCTCTTAGGGCCAACCCGACGCGGCAAATCAAGATCCCACTCGAAAAAAAATCACCAGCGCGGGCCTGTACTCTCGACATGTGAATGTTAGATTTCATACTAGTGTTGTATCTCTTCTGTTACGGCGGTTGCTGTATTCGCACCCTTGAACGTTTGAACGTTGAACCTCTACATTCCACCTATTCTATCCACGTTGTCGATCAAATCACGCCGTTGTGCCAGCACAGCTCCGACGTGGCCGTTGCGTGGGGCATGGCATGATGGAGATTGAAATTGTACATTCGGGTACCAGCCCTCACCTTTTTCCGAGAAAACAGACAGACTTGTACTTTTATCATTTTCAACAGATGATATTATGATCCCCCGTGTTGATCAGTGAAACATGACCGTTTCAAACCCTGCAACCCAATCTCTCATGCCGACTGTACACGCTGTCGACGTACTTCTCATGTCCGCAACGCCACAGATCTGTTCCAAAATCCCCACCCATGTTCATGGTATGGTGCACTATTAGCTCATTCATGACCGCGCCTTCTCTCCACATTACCGACAACCCCCGACGTCATCAAACAACTAAGATCTCCCAAAGAAAATTGTACTTAGCCACCTCTCCCCACCTTGCCCCCCACACGGGATGCCATGTTATCCGACACCCCGGATTGTCCCACTCATCGTCCAATAAAGTCTGTTCCTCACCCTAACCCTGCTAGCTTATAGCCGACCTCCTATTCTCCACCGCCATCTTCCATTGTCAGTGCGCGAAACTTTGCTTCTTGTTCTGTTGGAATGGGAAGCATCCTTCAGTGGCAAATGACCCCTAGCCCAGGGAAGCATGCCCCCAAAAAACATGAGTAAAACCCGCGTCCGGTTATTTCTTCCAAGAACTTGCGAAGAATTCATGACAGGATATCACAGACGAGAACGTTGCTATTTCTGGCGACGAAACTTCGCTCAATTCCAGAAGTGCTCAAAACCCCATGCGACGCCCAGTATGTAGGCGTCAAATAGGGTTTTCTCGTTCTATTGGGCGTTCATTCTATCATTAGCCCTCCAGGTTCTCTTCTTCGAGTGTCTTGCGACCATTCAACTGAGAACCGCAGGCTATACATATCTATAGGGACTGATTCTACCGACTACATTTGATGAACGCCGGATTTACTGGCACTTAGTGCGTCCTAATTTCCTTCTTGCCTTCTCTCTGTCAAACATCATATATCATATGACACCAGTTTTGTTGGCAGACATGACATAATGATGCACCATCATACCGAGTTGTGGCTCCAGTCCAAATGCAGACCCAACCAATTATCAAATGCTCTTATTGCTGTTGGCAACGCGACCCCAGCGCTCAGTGCTCAAGGATAGACACTTACCCCAACGTACTCGGAAACCATGATTTCCGGTGCATTCACTGCCATTTGCGATATTCATGTGCACCCTTCAGCAAGAAGGATATAACCCAGGCCCCCAACCTCACCCTGTGAACGTCCATTCTTCTGGGTCGGGCCTCTTCCT